AATCCTGGCACACAGCATCAAGTCAAGAATGCCCCCCATTTTAAGCTAACCTAACCTCTATACACAACCCTAGAGCCAACACACAAAGCTCCAAAGGGAGTAATGTTGGGGTAATATCAGTTTTGTTTTATTTTTATTTTATTTTTTTGAGATCTGAAGTGATTTTGCTTTTATTTCCTTCATGTTAAACCAATCATGAAATTTCACAGTGATTTCTGGGGTGGGGCAGAAGGAAAATGTATTCAGAATGATCGAGGCCATAGCCTGGTTAGCCTGAGAAGGTGCAAGCAGGGGAGGCCTCACCGGGGAAGCTGGAGGAGCACCGACTGCCCTGCTGGCAGGTAGATGATGTTCCGAAAGCGCAAGAGCTGGAAAGCAATGTCCTCCGCAGCTTCCAAACTTGTGCAGCTCAATCAGGCCATCACCTGTGGTGGCCAGGGAGTTGGCAATCAACTGGGCTGCCTTGGAATCACCCTCCGCAGAGATGATGGCTGCCTTCTGCTGCTGCTCAGCCTTTTCCACCACAAATCTGGCCCTCTCCGCTTGCTGCTGAGCCACCTGTTTGGCTTCCACTGCTTCTGTGGACTCCTTCCCGAAGGTCAGATGTGTCAGGGACACACTGGAGACCAACTCTTGCTAGGTGATCAATTCTCCAGCATCAAAGCGAGCTACCACTGACTTGAGGATCTCTGTGGTGATGGATGGCAGCGCCCGCTCATCATAGTTCTCACTAATGCTGGTGTAGATACGAGGAAGCAGGCTGGCCACTGGCCGGAAGAGGATGCGTAGTGTGATGTTGACGTTCTGCAAATCTTTGCTACCAGTGATGACTGGTACATTCTGTGGTTTCTGTACCCAAGGGATGAGAAAGTGAGTCCCTTCCCCTACCACAATGTCCTGTACTCCACTGAATCGGTCAAAGATGACCGCTCTGTGCCCAGCATCCACATTATATAAGGCAGAGTTCACCACGCCTCCTGCAACTGCTAAAGCCAGGCCGAACTTTCCCATAGACTCAAACACTTTGGCAGCCATGATTCCTTCTGTTGCACCCACTCACACCTGCTTTCATGCTGACCTCCACATCCAATTTTGTTTTAATCACAACACTTTGGCTCTGGGACACTTTCACTTTTAATGCCATATTCTGTATTGTTTGTAATTTTTAAAACATGGATTCATTAACTAATCAGGTAATTGGAGACTAGACTATACACTTATGGGTGGCCTTTCAGAGAAATGGACCTCATCCCTTCACACTTTGCTTCAAGCAGTCCTTAAAACTTGGCCAATCAGATTGCTCATCTTTCTTCTTCAGGGAAAACAGTGAAGGCAGTGGTCAGAAAGACAAATTTCTTCTCTGTATTAAGAGAAAAGAATAAAAGCAGTATGGCACAAACAGAAACAAAGGAATGGAGGCACTTGATAGCCTAGGAAGTTAGGAGTCAGCAACCACCCTGCTTCTAAGTTCTGAGGAACTTTGACCCGGAGGACATGATTGGAAGCTAGACCTCAGGAAAAGCTTTCAGGTCAGATCCAGCTGGAATCATCTGAGTCTTGTGTTTCTATTTTGCTTTGGGTTCCCAAAACTGGGAGAAGGAGGAAGCACTGACAGTCAGCAGGGACAGACAGGGGTGATGCTAAAATACCCCACAACACACAGGACAGCACCCCTACAAAGAGCAACCTACATGCACCAGTGAGCAGCAGGTAGACCAGCCTGGTTAAAACTGGATCCTGGGAAGCTGCAGACTCTATGCCAAGGAGATAGCAAAGCTGTAGATGAGAGTCACTGAAATCATGTTAGAGGAGGCCATGATTGGATGCAGCAAAATCCCTTAGCATGTTACCATGAATACCCAGAGAAAGGTCAAGCTTAAGCTGAAATGGATCCCCCAGAAGGGGCTCGGGGAGAGAACAGTCAACACATGTGTAATATGTGAAAACCATCAGGTACTGGAAAACGATTGGCTGTAGGGTGGTGGAGGATTGCTGGATAACTCCTAGGTTTCTCACATCAACAGTTAGATTACGTTTAGAGACACTGAATACAGCAAGAATGGGAGGGTTAAGGTATCAGAAAGATGCATCTGGTTAGGAGTTTTACGAAGGTCTCAGTGATTCCTTGGAGGAGATACCTAGATGGTAGAATATACTCAGTCAATAACTACTGTACTAGCAACGATCAGTTGTCAATGGTTTGTGCCTAATGGTGATTAGCTCCATACGCAAGAAAACTCTTAGATGGAGACTTAGCTTTTCCGTTGAAGAAGAAATTCGGTGTTACTTTTGAGGAGGTCTCAAAGAGCCTTAATGGTTCTATAATTTCGTGAGATGGAGGTTTTCCCGTTTTGAATCTGGAGTCAACTACACTTAGAGTTCCTCTTGAGGGAACCATACCTGTGGAGCTAATTAAGGTAAATAGGTTGGCAAAGGTTTCAGCCAACTACTCAAGCAAAGTTAAAATAATTTTGGCAGCAGAGCTTTTCTTCTGGAACCCTTACAGCCTGAAAGGTGGGATGTTTTTAGGCTGAATGAAAATATTGGAGTGCAGCAATGAAGGAGGTTGAAGACGAGAAAATGCAAAGGGGTAGGGCAGGAATTTAGATGGTGTGTTTAGTAATTAGTGCACACGTGTAATTCCAAACGACTAGATGATACCAAGGAAGAGCATACTCCAAATCTGCAGTATTGGTGTCCCCATCTTTGAGCCCAAAACAAATAAAAAATATTTTATGTAATTTAGTTTTGGGAAAGGATAAGTTGTTTTTTGAAACAGTTATAACTTAATGACTCTTCCGTTATATCCGAGATAACATCTTGATAATATGGCCTGGAATTTATTTATTTATTTTTGTTGCATTCTGATCTCTTTTATGAAGCAACAGATAAAAGGTTGTTCTTGGATAGTCCAGCGACATGGTAATATAACCACCATTTGCTGATACTGTAAATAGTTATTAATGAGGCCTCCAGAATAAAATATGTTCCATAAATTTTTGTAGGTAATAAATTTGTTCCCTTCAGTTTAACTTTATCCCCCAAATCTTACAGACTTAATTACATACAGGGTTAGATGTGGGTGAGGGTGAAGTTCAATGATTGAGCCCTTGCCTAATATGACTGGGGCCTTTGGGTTCAATCCTTAATACCACACATACACCAAAACGTTACACAGACAATAGATGCAAGGACAGTTTTGAAAGTTCAGATCAAGTTTAAGGGGAAAATATTTACTTTCCACCAGTCTTTTTATATTCAACACAAAGATGAAAATAAGTTCCAAAGAGCTAATTTTCCAATCATCAGAATGCTGCTGGTGGTTGGAAATAGAAGGGGGAGTTCACAGATCGCCCTCACAGCCTGCCATGTACCTTTATTGGGCTGCGATTATAAGTGAGTTTGACCAGATACTTTTCTTCTTTAATTCAGACGGTCGTTCGTGGAGAAGTACCTTAAAAGGAAGAATCTAACTATTGCTGTTTCCTAATGGATGCTGCCCTGGTGGAACTGCTGCCAATCCTGGCACTGGAGTGCCCTGAAATTATGTCAGCTAATGAATAATTAGAAAACACAAAGTTCAGAAGTCTGTCAAAACACAGAATCATCTGAAGTACCGTACACCCTAACAGAAAAGTTGAATGTGAAAAGGCCCAGACGGGCCTCTCCAGGAGCTGAGTTACTCTTTACATTGTGTGAAATCTACAGAGAGGATTTTTATTCCTTCAGTAAGTATCACCCCTGTTTTTACAACAGAGTGTCTCCATTAATCAATGCAGCAGTCTTGTGATCTAGTCTCTGCAACCTCTCAGTTAGAAACCAGAGAGCAAAGGTCAAAAAACCCAGAATCATCTTTCTAATAATTGTGGAGAAAGGGTTAATCCTGATCTGAAAATTAATCTAACCTTTCATCATCACACTATTCTACATCCCATAATGCCAAATTCAGGAAACCAAACTTAGTATGGTAAGTTTTTGTTTTTTTTTTTGTCTTGATTTAGTTCCTTAAAAAAAAAAAAAGACAACCAAACAAACAAGCAAAACTCTTTTTTTTTCTCCTCATGACCCTTAGCATCCTTGCTGGTGTGACTTATGCATCCTCTGCACTTCTTGAGATTTGGTTAATAATGGCAGCATCTCTGGGTCCATCCAGACCAACTAGAGGAGAATCCACATTCTGGTTCCCCAGGTGAGTCACACACACTGGGGTTTGAAAACTGCATCTCCAGTATATGAGTGTATATGAGTAGCTTTTCTCCACCCCTCCTATGATGGTTGCTCATCGAGTTCTCGAGTCTCTAACCAGCAGTTACTGATATTTTGATTAGTCTTACTCTCTTTTTGGTCTCTCCTCAGCCCTTCACCACTCAGTTCCATTTAGAAACCACCAACAGATTATAGCCCCTCTTTACCACACTCGTTCCTCATCCCATCTTTCAGCCAACCCATTACCCTCCGCTCAAAATTACCACTGGATCCTCTGTACCTTCTAAAAAAGAAGATAGCAGTAGGGGTTGGAGAGATAGCTCAGTTGGTAAAGAAATTGAGTTGGATCCCCAACATTCACCTGAAAAAGCCAGGGGCATGCTTATAATCAGTCCCCCAGCTCTGGGGATACTGAGACAAGATGGTCTCAGGGACTTGTTGGGTGGACAGTCTAGCAAATCAGCTAGTTCCAGGTTCAGTGAGAGACCCTGTCTTAAAAATAAGGTGGAGAGCAATTGAGAAAGACAGCAGACATTGACCTCTGGCCTCTGCAAACATGTGCACATGAACCTGTGCACACAGACACACAGATGTACACACACAGGCACATACCAAAACATCTTTTTTTTTAATTTTAAGGAATTGTTCCTTTTCTTTTTCTTTTTGGCTTTTTGTTTGCTTGTTTGGCTAGCTTGTTTTATTTTTTTCAAGACAGTTTCTCTGTATAGTCTTGTCAGTCCTGGTACTCGATCAATAGACCAGGTTGGCCACAAACTCACAGAGATACAAAAAAATACTATTTTTAATTATTTCCATTTTATTTCCAGTGTATTGTGCAAGTGTTCTCAGAGGCAGAAGACAGCTCAGTGTCCCCTGGAAGTAGAGTTACAGGCAATTGTGAACACTTGCTGTTATGGATATTAGGAACCAAATCCTGGGTCCCTGCAAGAGCAGCAGCTCTGTCAATCCTTGGCCATCTGCAGTGGTCATTCAACAGCAGGAACTTCGGCACCAAATATTTTACTCTATATGAACTAGCTTGTTTCTTCTTTAAATGGTTCCTATAAAATTGCTGTGATAATTGTCCCTATTTTACAGAAGAAGTAACTAAGGTTGAGCAATTTTTTAAGACTTTCCCAGACAATTAACAAATAATAGGAGCAGGACAAGTCTTCAGCACACAGCTTGGTGTTGTCTCCAATGTCTTCTACACAGGCTTGGCAACCCAGGGGCTGGCCAGAGAATTTGCATGTAACTAATCCTTTTTAACCGTAAAAAATCCTGAAGCAAAGTTTTGCTATTAGTATCCTACATTTTACAGATGAAACTAGGAATTAGAGAAAATTGAACCAAAATTCAGTTAATTGCAAGCCAAATATACTTTCTACCTGACAGTAATATTTTTCCTTCCCTATATTTCTGTGTGCCCTAATTTTATTACTTTTTGTTCATTTGTTTTTATTTTCCAGGCAGGGTTTTTCTGTGTAGCCTTAGCTGTCCTGGAACTAGCTCTGTAGACCAGGCTGGATTTGAACTCAGAGATCTACCTGTCTCTGCCTCCTGAGTGCTGGGATTGATGATATTTGCCACCACTGCTGGGCAATTTTACTATCTTTTAAGGAAAATACAAAGCTTTCCCCTTTCCTGCAATTTAGTCTTCCTCTTCTCTCAAATCTTGCCAGATTTTGCTCTCACTTTCCTTTGGGCTCCAGTCTCCTCGCATATGTGTCAATATGTCTGTGTAGCAGGCCGGAACACTCTTCCTTCCAGCAACTGGTTATTGTTCTTGAGTCTTTAGAAGATTGATCTAAAGAGACAAGGAAATTAGAGGCATGGTGGTAAGAAATTTTAATGTGAATATTCATGAGCAGAAAAGAAAGGCAAGTGTGATCATTAAGAATTGTAATAAGAACTATTACTCCTGGTAAGAATCTGCAAAACAGACAAAAATTAACATTTACTATTTTATTACTTCTCCTAAAATCAAACAAAACCTTGTTAGGAGTTGATTTTTATGCAGGATATCCTCTGAATTTCCTACTAGCTCAGTGGTTACTTTCGTCCACATCATTCCCTCTATGTTATATTCCTTGTTAGCCATTATCTGTTATAAGCAGTCCTTCTGGGTGACTCCTATCTGTAATAGACCCAAAATGACCTCAGTGTATTCCAACTTTTTCTCACTCCCTACCCTATGGCATTTCAACCATTGCCACACTTTAAACTAAATGAAATATAAAGGAAAAGAAGTGGCATACATGGATTAAATATTTTAAGGACTCTGGAAACACTAATAAACCATGGACAAGTAAGTCTGAGGTGTCTTTCTCGATGTTTCTCCATCATATTTTTAGATACATGGTCTCTCACTGAGCCTGGATCGAGGTGACTCACCAGCAAGCTCCTGGGGTCCTCTTGTCTCTACCTCTCCAGGATAGAGAATGCATATATACGCCGTCATACCTGGGTTTTTATGTGGGGTAAGGGGATCAGAACTCAGTTCCTCAGGCTTGCACAAAAAAAAAAAGCACTTTACTGACTGAACCATATGCAGTCTTATAATTCAGGAAGCAGTGTCTGAATGATGACTTCCACATTTACATGAAGATCAGCAACAACTGTTGCTTTAAATATTTTCTTTAAAAAAAGAAAAGGAAAGAAATGTGCTTTAAAAGCTGAGATTTGAAGTGTGTTCCCAAGAGTATTCAGAGATTAACTTTCAAATGGGATGTAGCTTTTGGCCTGAATCCTTTCATGCCTGTCTAACGGAACTCCTATTAAAGCAAATTAGAAGTGTTTGCTTTAAGTCAAATACTTTCAACAAAAGTCAGAAACAAACTTCAGGTATATTTCAGATTTGTTTTCTTCTATTCCCTTCAAAAGATCATTGAAGTAAATGGGCAGGCCGTTATATGTGCAGGACTGTGAGCTCACTAAGGGCCTTGGAGTCAGTGATTTAAAACTAGATTACACATTTCCCAACAAGTGGCACGGTGCCCATCACATGATACTGCTTTACAAACATTTGTTGAGTAAATAATCTCTCCTAGTTTTGCAGATGAGGAAATGTGGATCCCTAAGCAGTCCAATGACTTAACATAAGCCACACGGTGATTTTGTACCAGACCTGCAGTCTACCATCCTTTATTTAGTGACATGGCTGGCCATTGATTTCAACATAAGCAAATGTTTTGGGGTGGGGCTAGAAGTAAATGAATAATAAAATAAAAAATAAGCTGCCTGGGGACTGTTTCCCTAACACCTCATCAGAAGTTACACATTCAAACACATAGTTCTACATAAGACTGGAATGAGAGCATCCACTCCAAAACCAATTAAAACTCTCCCAGGAATAAACAAACAGAACCTATTCTGTATAACTGATGGCCAAAACTGATAATTGTAGGGATAAAAATCAGGTTTTAGTGATAGAAAATTAGCCCATATAAGGAAAACATATAAAACTACAGAATGCAGCAGGTTGGCTGTAAACTGAAATCTAGACCAAATATTACTTGAGGATACTTTGAAAGAGACTCCAACAGTAATAAAAATACTTTTTATGACACAATTTTTAAAACACAAAATGAGCTAAAGAATCTGCATAATGATTTAATAATTCAGGTCTAAAAGTGGTACACTCAGGGAAAACCATCAGATAACACTTGGAGTCAATTAATCATTTTTCTTGGTCATCATGGGGGTGGGGAACCCTCAAGGGAAGACTCTCGAAGCTTTGCCAGTGCTTTTAATGTCTGTTTCAAGCCTGCTTCTGTGTCATGCAATGCAAACTCCTGTGAGTGGGCAGGAGACTGGTGAACAATATGTGTAAAGTACATATTTGTGCCACTAAGAGGGAACTATTTTCAAACCTATGTTATAACACCATTTGACAGGAAAATGCCTTGAAGACTATTGGCCTAGAAGAATGCTGAGGCCCAAGACCCAATTAAAATACTGCTAAAGCGCATCAAGCAGGTGCTGGAGGTGGGCAGAAAACACGGCCAATTCTATCCTATGGGAAAACTCATCTCTGCCTACTTATTTTAGTGATAATGTAAAAGAACTGGACCAGGAAAGGCAAAACAAAGGAGAACTGAAATAAGCAGAAACAGCATGGAAGGAACATAGAGTATCAAGATACTCTCTTGAAATTTGTGCTGATCAAAGAAGTTACGTTAAACTTCTGGCATTCCAGTCCTGGCCTGTGAAAGCGGTTGCCATTTTTGCTACATAAACACACTGAAGAAAAATGAGCTTCCCTTAACAACTGGTGCAGGGAAAACTGTATTTCGCCTGTATAAAACTAAAAAGCAGACCTCTATCTCTCACACCCTGTACAAAAAAAAAATCAACTCAAAATGGACCAAAAGCCTTCACTAAAGACTCCTGGGCCTCATGAGCAGAAAGCATAGAGGAGTATGTCAAGACAGGCATAAGCAATGCTCTGCTGAATAGGACTGCAATCGTTCAGGGACTGTAGAAAGAGCTGACTACCAGAAATGCATCAAATTACAACATTTCTACATAACAGAGCACGTAAGAAAGTAAAGAAACAACCTATAGGATGGATTAATATCCAGAATACATAAAGAACTTAAAATCATACATACATACATACATACATACATACATACATACATACATACATACCAAAGAGCAAACAAGGAAACCAATGAATAGAATGAAGAGTAAATGAAGAGACAGACACTTCTCAAAGAGCTTGTGAGGGTGGTCTGATGTGACATCTGTCACCCCGTGATCACCAGGGTTGATTCAGCTCATCTAGCTGGCCAGGCTAGTGTCCCCTTCCTCCCTCACTGCTCCATGTGCATCACCCCCAAAAGTTGTACTTTCCCAAATAGAGGAGGACCAGTCTTCATTCAAGGGTACGCAAGTAGCTGTACTGTCCTGCTGGAACCACCAAAGAAGCTCTCAAATAAAGAAGAGCAAATGACCAATATGTGACAAATGCTCACTACCTTGAGCCATCAGGGAAATGCAAATGAAAACTACATGAAGATCTCATCTCACCCAGTCAGGATGGCTGTCATCAAGACAACAAACACTAGTAAGAATGTGGGAGAAAGGAGCCTTTCCTCTGTAGTCTTGGAGAATGTGTAAAGTGTCCCAGACACTATGAAAATCAGTATAGAGGTTCCTCAAGAAACTATGGAAAGAATTGCCATATGGCCCTGCTCTACCAGGCTTGCTGGGACAGTTTATCACATTTTTTTCTGGTGTGTGCAACTTAGAAGGGAATGAAGATGCGAGTAAAAGGGAGGCTATTACGAGCATGAGGGGAGGAGGAAGAGGGAAAGGGTAATGAAGGATAACAAGGTGCATGGGTGTGATAAAAATATGATATACATACACAGAAATGGCATAATAAAGTCCATGACTTTGTACAAATAGTGTGCACTAATTTTAGAATGAGACTATGGCTCAGATTGATGAATTGTTCCTATTTCATACAGTAAATAAGAGCTGGGAGATGTGCCAAGAAGTCAAGCTTCTCTAATGAGACTTTAACCACCGTGTCACGCCATCTTCCCACCCCAGTGCTAGCCATTAGTTGAAATGTTGCTTCCTCCCATGGCTGAACACTATGCTGCCAGATTGTCTGACTGGATCTCACTGTGGTATAAAAAAGTAAATGACTGCAATTCTTGTGATGACTAGAACTCAAGTTCACTATCAAGCTGCTATAATTCTAAGTCCATCCGTCCTGCATAGCTGCAAGCTCACATCAAGGAGTTCAATAAAAAAATTAAAGGTAAAATTTTCAAACTTGCATCTGAATTGAAAATTCATAAACAAGACATATACTTTACATTGCATTAAGTATTATGACAAATTAGACATGACTTAAATTCTGCAAGAGGGTGTGCCCTATGTTGTATGCAAATACTGTGTTATTGGACACAATGGACTTAAGATCTGTGTATTTGGTATGTGAAATCCTGGAGCCAAGCCCTGATGATTATCAAATGACAACTGGTATGTACCAGAGGGACCATGTTTTACTTAACTTTGTGTCTCTAAAGCCTACCCATCACCTAGTTAGTACAGGCAAATGATCAAGAGATGCTTACACAACAAGTTTCTGATTAGACACACAGTTGATTGCAGCTGGGTATGTGAAACCTCGACTTTTAAAACTGCAGCTTAAGGGGCAAGGAACAACAGTGGGACTTCCCTACAACCAGTGCATTTGCTGCAACATACATGATGCCTGTGTGGTGGGGGTAGAACAGGAACAGTGGATCTTGAAAAATCAGTGCACCAGAAAAGCTTCCAGATGTCAATTGGAGGGTTGGAGCCCAACCCTGACTAGTTTCAATGAAAAACAAATTCAATGAAAGCTATGGGTAACTCACAGAATCAACACAGCTGCTAAAGAAATGGGCTCAAAATGCAAAGAAAAACCAAGAACTAGGACAAGAAGTCCTGCCAAAGCCACGTGTCAGGCATGCCTCAGATCTTGGGCTCTCCCTGATGAATTCTGAGGCATCACTTCTGAACTTGACGTGCCATGGCAGGCTCTATCAGTAAGTGAAGCCCGGAGATTCTGCTACAAGTTCTTATGTAGCCGCCACTGCCACTGCCAACTGCATGCCATAGCCACCACCATGGCTGCAGGACACCTTACCATATCTCTGCTTCTTTAGACAACCCCTTTAGGATTCCAACTCTGCAGCAGGAGCAGCTGGGGCTGAGGCCAAGTAAGAAGAAAGAACAAATAGCTCATGGTTTTGTCTTTGTAATGGAATGGACCTTTTTTTCTCAGAGACACAGACATACAAAGAGAGTGAGAATGCTAGAGAATCCCAGCATGCTAGTTTCTACAAATAATGATCTGAGAAAAGGATCTACAGCCCATTTAGAACCTGCCTCCCATCTAAAGGAGGCCCACCCAAATTTCATAAGGAAAACTACCGTACCAGGTTGACCCTGTACAACAAGAAAGAGGGATGCATTCCTGGAAAGGGTAGCCTTTTCATAGAGTACTACAGAGTACATGGAAATTTGAGTTTCATTCTCTTCCAAGTCCCTGAAGTGATGACATGTCTGTGGTCATAATTTCTTAACCACATTGTTGGGACATCTGTCAAGTACTTCCTCCTAGGCTGCACTGATGCATATGCCACTATTCATACAAATGTTATTGATGATTACATTAATTAAGGTTTTGCTAAGTACAGAGGCACTGTGCTATGGGTGTTAGGTATGCACACACTTCATATTATAAACTGCTTTAGTCTCATAGCTCTGTAAAATAAATCCTGTGGTAATACCCATTTTTAGGAATGAAGAAAGGGAGTTGAGAGAGCCCTTAATTTACCTAAAAATATGCATCAAGTTAGCTGCAGAACTAAGAGGAATCAGTGTGTGTGTGTGTGTGTGTGTGTGTGTGTGTGAGAGAGAGAGAGAGAGAGAGAGAGAGAGAGAGAGAGACTATGTACTTGTTGTCAGTGTGGGTATGTACATGTACACATGCAAATATTCATATTACATGTGTGCATATATGACTCTGGAAGCCAGGAGTCAACATCAGGTATTTCTTTCTATTTTCTGGGTTTTTTATTTTAATTGATCTCACTTGCTATGTAGCTCTCATGAGTCTGCGACTCCCTCTAAAAACCAGGAAGGCCTTGAACTCACAGAGATCCACCAACCTCTACCTACAGAGTATTGGGATTAAAGGCATGAACAACCATGCCCAGCTCTCTACCTTTATCTTTTGGGACAGGGTGTCTTACTGAACCTGAAGGTCATCAATTTGGCTAAGCCATGTGTCCAATTAGCTTCAGGGATCCTTCTGTCTCCCCACTCCCCACTGTCAATGTTACACATGTGTGCCACTGTGCCAGCTTTTTACATTGGTGCCGGAGATCCAAACTCTTCATGCTTGCATGGCTGGCTCTTTGCTGACTTGGGCCATCTCTGCAGCCCCAACACCTTCCATTTGAAGAGTTTCCAGCAAGTCCTGGTGGATGGCTGGGAATTATCATTCACCTCCTTGACTAGATATCCACTACAGAAATTAGCCTCTTCGACATCCATGGTAATCCATCTATGGCTGTTTCTGCACTCCTATGTGCTCACCTTTATCATCATCCCTTGGGGACCAAACAAGTTTTTGGTTGACTGTGAGTTGTTGATGGATCTCAATGTGCTGCACTTACTGACAAACCATGAGAATAGACTATATTGCCCTACTTTTTAGTGATATCAGGACTATCCACATATGTACATTCTGAGATATCACTATTTGAAATCAGAACTCTCTGAGGACAATATATTATTTGTCATTTATTATGAGTTGGTTGTTTCATGAAACACATTCAGTAAAATATTCATTCAAGTTAATGAATTTATTGGATATCTTTTTATTGGCGGCTTATTTTCCAATATTTTATTGTATAAATCTTCAAAGATATTAAAAAGTTGAAGGAACTTTACAGTGGGCATCCAGAAACCTATCAGCTGAACCATACCTAACATATCCTTTATTTACCTTATTGTATCTAATTGCCTGTTCACAGTCTCTTCATTCATCTGCCCATCCTATTTTGATGCATTACAAAATAACCTGCAGTATCAGAGCCTTCCCCGCTCTTATTTGTAGCTCCTCTTTGAAATGAAAATACCTGTTTAGTGAAATACAAACTCTCCAGTGTAATACCTGAAGTGCCTGACAGAAACCTGTCTGCTTAAGTAAATCTATATCGAGTTATATAATAATCCTATCATTTAAGAAAGCCCCCTTACGTTCCCTTCCAGCATCTCTCAACCCACACTCCCCCAGAGATAATCACTCACTTTAAAATTTTGTCATCATAGACTACTTTTCTTGCTCTAGGAACTTCCTAAAAATGGAGCCATAAAATACTAATTTTGTCTACTTTTTTCCACTGGGCATACATCTTGTGTTTGAGATTTTTTTGCATGCTCATGCATACATGAGTAATTTGATATCTTTATTTCTGAGTGGCTTTCGCCATTTGAATACATCATATTTATCATCATTTCCTTGCCTGTTCTTTTGTAGATGGACAGGTAAGCTGCTTCCTGCTTTTATTTACCACGAGTTAAGCTGTAATGAACACCCTTGTGCAAGGGCTTTGTGGACTGTACTTCATTTCTTTTGGAAAATACAAAAATGGAATTCAGTGGCATTGTTGGATGATACACAAGTTCTGTATTTCACTAGTACGTAATTTTTCTGACTGCTTACCAAAGCAGTTAAGCCATTTTTGACACTCACCAATCATAAATAAGTATTCTAACTGCTTCCCATCCTGTCCAGTATCAGATGAGGCCAGACTTTTTATTTTTCCATTATGTTGATCACTGGTATTATTCACTAGTTTTTTTTTTTTAAATAATTTTAATCGCGCACGCGCGCGCGCGCGCGTGTGTGTGTGTGTGTGTGTGTGTGTGTGTGTGTGTGTGTTCGAGCGCACATGTGTGCATGACTACAGGTAACTGTGGAGGCCAGAAGAGGACATTGAATCCCCTGGAGCTGGAACTACATGTGTTTTTGAGCTGCCATGTGGGTGCTGGAAACTGAACAAAGGTGACTAACTCCCTTTAATGTGGGATGTAGTCACTCTTTAATCACATGAATACACACACCATGTATTATCTGAGGTGGAGAAATGCAAAAATAGTTGAATCAAGCTGTTCTTTGGCTAAAACTTAGTAATTTACCTCACTCTAAGTAGATAGGTGAAATTTTTGTTCAAAATGAATGTGTTCATATGCTGAAGCCAAAAGAGTTTACTATTTAATTGTTAATGCATTATTTCTCTTATATTCTATATCTTAAAAATAAATATTTGTTAAACAAGCAATTCAGAACTCATGGGAGCAGAAAGAAAATGAATTCTTCCCCAGGACAAGATGAGGTTTTTTTTTTAGTTCATCAAGGTAACAAGGCAAGTCAAGGATCTGCAGCCAAGGGAAGACCATGAAGTCTGGACAAGCATGTGATGTCAATGAACTCTCTGCAAAGAGAAAGAGAAAGAAAAATACAAGAGCGAGGTTAAATCATAAGGGCTTCACATTAACAAATGATGACAGGGACCTGAACATCTTAAAGTTGCAAGTGGGTGAGAAGGGAAGGAAGTAACCATATTTACAGTTTTCATGTTGTATATAAAAGAAGTCATGCTGAGAGGTTAGAGAAATGACTCACCAGTGCAGAGCTTTGGTGGTTCTTCCAGAGGACCTAAGTTTGAGTGCCAGCACCCATATATGGTGGATAACAACAGTCTGTAACTCCAGATCCAGGGGATCCAGTGCTCTCTTCTGGCCTCCACAGGCATCAGGCACATATGTAACACATAGGTATATATGCAGGCAAAACACCCACATACTTAAAATAACTATTTTTAAATCATGCTAAGAGAATTGAGGACACAAATTGAAGAGATCTAAGCCAGAAATTTACAAAAGGGTAACATTTTACATGAGAAATATAAATATATACAAAGAGCTAAGAACTTACGCCCATACAGCAACTGCTTCACTTATAGTGGGCAAACTATAGTCAATAGAGCACCTACCTTACAGCATCATGAGTGGAAACCCTCTCCTTCCAGCTCAGGTGGGTAATCGATAAGGGAAGAGCAAAGGAGTCTTGTATGGAAGTTCTCTCTGACAGCCATGTGCTAGATGACGTGCCTGAACTGGTGGCTGAGTAGAGAGAGCATTCACTGAAGGCCCTGTGAATGGATTACACTATTCCTCCAGAGAGGACCACCTCAAAAAAAAAAAAAAAAAACCCTCAAATTGTGAATCCATCTAGGTATTTATATGTTGATTAGGTCAGGACTTCTACCAAGATGCCACAATCCAACCATTTCTCAAAAGCCCAACATCTGAACATTACACTGGAGGTCAAGATTTTAACTTATGAACCTTTTAGAGAGACACTTTATAACCAAACTAAAACACATGGTTAGAAAGCAGTGTAGAGCCAAAACTCAAAGCCAGATTTTATTGGCTCCAATGCCCCTGGTTGTTCCCTGTGCTACTGATGGCTGCATACAGTGACCATGCTTTACCAGCATCTTTCCAGAAATGGTAAAGCATGTTTTTTTCTTGCAAGAGAACCCAGATAACCACTATTAGAGCTGATAAAGGACCCAGATATTGAGTTCATGAGAAGGAACAGCCTTGAGTCTGGAACAGTAGATCCATCAAACTCCAACTCTATTGTATGTCATTCTGGTGACTGGCACTGAACATTGGAGCTAAGGTAGCCTTCTGCCTTTCCATTGAAAACTCTCACCTGTATGTGAAGATATTGTTCAGAATTCTTGTTATGGACTTAGCAGTGGGGAGCAAGCAAATGTTTATGCTGAAAATATGAAGTAAATTACAAGGGGTCTACATGGACTGAGAGAAAGATAACTTGAACATACAGTTTAAAAGTAGCCATTCTTACTTGAAGAAACAACTAGAATCTGGGGGCATCTCTGGAATGAGCTAGAAACCTAGAGCAAAATCCCAGGAATCCATAAGGATGGCCCTAGACAAGACTCCTAACAATGGGGACTATGGAGCCTGAACTGACCTTCTGCTCTATCCAGGCAAGACTTCTAGTGAACAGAATGGGACACCAGCCAAGTCACAAACCCTTCAACATACAATTCATCCTATCTACAAGATGTGCTGAGTCAAAGATGGCACAGAAATTGTGGGAGTTGCTAACTAAGGACTGGCCTAGATGCAGACCCAAATCCTGAGATGATGCTCAGCTTTGAGGGCCAGCACCCAGAGGTGGGATACCCCAGAGACCTAGGATAGAACCAAACACAAATGTCAAGAAAGTCAATGAAATGATTCCTAATGATAATCTGCTATTCTCATAGATTGGTGTCTAGCCCAACTGTCATCAGAGAGGCTTCATCCAGCACCTGATGGAAACAGATGTAGAGACCCACAGCCAAACAATAGGCAGAGCTCAGAGACTCCTCTGGAGAAGGGGAGGAAGAATTTTAGGAGCCAGAGGGGTCAAGGACACCACAAGAAAAACCACAGAACCAACTGATCTGGGCTCAGAGAGGCTCACAGAGACTGAACTGACAACCAGGAATTCTTCATGGGACTAACCTAGGCACTCTGAATATATGTTAGAGTTGTGTAATGTGGTCTTCTTGCAGGACTCCTAACAGTGAGAGCAGAGGTTGTCTCTGACTCTGATGCCTGCTTCTGGGACCTTTTCCTCCCACTGGATTACCTCATCCAGCCTTGATAGAAGAGGAGTTACCCAGTCTCACTGCAATTTGATATGCCTTGGCTAGATGATATATCCATGAGATGACTGCCTGCCTATATCTGAAGAAAAACAGTGGTGAGGAGTGATGGGGTGGGGGTAGAGGGGAGAGGAGGGGAAACTCTGGGACGTAAAGACAAATAAATAAAAATGTTTAAAGAGTGACCACTCTTGACTTACTTTTCCTGAAGCACGAGGGAGACATACAAATCAGGACATCAAAGAGTTTAGCCAGCCAAAGCAGGGCTTCATGCACAGAGATGCCCAGTGTCTCATCACTGACGCTGCACACACCTTGATTAGGAAGACATCTGAAATACAGACTATCCCTTCCTAAGCTGAAACACAAGAGACAAGGGAGGGTAGGAGATCCACTGTCCTCTGTGGAATTATGAATCAGGATGGCAGCAGCAGTGGATAAACACACATAAGCCCCTGTGTCACACACACACACACACACACACACACACACACACACACACCAGGAGACATGGGTATCATCCGCAATGAGTCTACTCTCAGGAGAAGGTCTGCCAGTTCAGAAAAAATGCTATAGGTTTCCGCACCAGCTCAGTGTGAAGGACTCTCCTGAGGCCTCCCTGGAACTCGGCCCAAAACACTGAGTCATTCCTTTCCATCTCCTGGGCAGGAGGCCAGAACAGTCTCTGACCCCACCCACCTCATGCTGAAGCCTATGGACATCACTGACGACATGCCCATCTGCTGTCCCAGCAGGATTAGGACTAGCCAATGATTACAATGTGCTTTGAAAACACAAAACTTCCATCTTTTTTTTCTGGAATCACATTCTCTTTCGTTTCAGCATCTAATATTTGAAAATCGAGCAAGTAAAAATATGGACACAACAGGGCAGTTGAACATACAAACTCACAGTGGTTGTGACAGCATGCATAAGACCTCTGCAAGCTTAAGCCAGGCAAAATCCCAACATGGCCAGGGGAGGAAGGAACAGAGGCCCACCCGTAGTTCAGGGGCTACCTGCAATCCACAGCTGCATGGAAAGGAAGAACAAATTTTCTTTAAGGCTGTGGCCTCTGGGAGGTAAACCACACCGTGGTGATGTTTTGTTTACGATGTAACAAACAAAGCTTGCCTGAAAATTAGAGTACAAACCAGCCACACTAGTTAGCCATAGAGGCCAGGCAATGGTGGTGCATACTTTTAACCCTAGCTCTAGGTCACAGAGGCAGAATGATCTCTGTTAATTCAAGACCACCCTGAGCTTCATGAAATCGATCCAGTCTAAAAGAGAAACAGAGCTCACACAAAGGTGATCGCAGCACTTGGGATCCCACACTTTTAATCCTACATGGAAATGAGATATAAATGGTCTTCAATAATTTCACTTGGCCCCAGGGGTCACTTCTAATTCAGTTTGGTGAATTTGGTGCTGGCTACATACAGATAGGATATCAGGCCAGGGCTCCCTCTAAGGGGATTCAGCCTTTCCTGAAGCTTCTGACACTCAAAGCTTCATCTGCAAGATGACTTACAGAAATTTAAGGAACTAAGTCTTGAGATCTGGGAATTCATTGAACATTGTTTAAAACACTTTAAATGCTCTCATTCCATTACTAGAAATGACCAATTGCTTCTGAACCTGTGATTTCCGCAGTGAAATCTAGGCTTCCTTTGCAAAATGGGCATGGTGACAACGCCCTTCTCTAATGATGAGTGAACTGTCAGTCATTACGCTTAAACCACACACTCAAATTCTATATGCAAAACTGCAATTGTTTAAACATTTCACAAAATATTCTTACCCACAGCACACACACTGATCTACAGGATATTCCTGAATCATTTTTCATGACTCACTGACTCCCTCACTCCCAGGGATACGTGTTCAACATGCATGGGCATCGACCTCTTGAGTGGGCCAGACTTCAGATTTAACCAGCTCCCTAAATTAACTTCATGGGCAATTATCATACCTATTTCCCAGAAAGAAAGAACTGAAAGTTGTTAGAACACCAACAACTTCATGCGTAAGATGTTGAACTTCCCTGGAAATAAATTTTCTGTCTGTAAACTAGTGTGGTTGGGGAAGAGGTAAAGTGCAGAATTGGGTCCTCCCAGAACCTAGGATGGCTTTCATTTCTTGATTAATCTCTGAATTCCTATCTGTGTTTGTCTCCTCATTACCCCCATGAAAGCTTCCTTTTACAACATATGTTCCATCCCTGTAGTGGCCTTTCAGAACTTTCTCTTCCTCTAGGTGCCCAAAATCCCCAATCACAAGACTCCACTTCTAGCTTGCTACTGTTCAGAGGAATTTTTTTCACTTCCTTTATCTTCCCCTCTGAATTCCTCTGTACTGTGCATTATCCTCCTTTCTGTCTCTGGTTTCATGTCAAAATATCTCCTGGTTAGTCTATCTCTTTGACCTTCATCCAGAGAAAAGGTGGGATGGGGGAGGGAGGAAAGAGAGAACAGACTATTTCCTTGCATCCTTGTTTCTTCCTGTCTTTCTTGAGCCCCTGATCCTCCTACTTTCTCAGCAACACCAGTCTTTAAAGCTAACTCCCCAGAGCACTCTTTTGGCCTTGCTGTGCCTCCTGTCATGTTTTCCACATTTATCTCCTCAATGCCCAGACTATGGTAATGGTCTGATTTATTTCTTCATCAGCCCTTACTCACAATTCCTTCCAGGTTCATGAACAACTTGTGACACACCCAACCACCTCCTTCCCCCAAGTGCTGCAGAGCACTCAAGATACCTATGGCCTTGTGCCTCTCCCTTCCCTTCGCCTTTGTTTTTTAACCCTATACTTCTGCAACCATCCTGACCCCACCTTTCTAGTTCTTCCTCCTTCCAGGTGTCCCCATCACTTTCCTCGTGGACCCCGTCTTTACACCCTGTCCCACTCTGCCCTCTGGTACCCCAGCTCTTCCAGATTCTGTTGGAATATGGATCTCTGGTCCAAAAGGTCCCCCGCTAAGCGTCAAAGTAGGAACTGTTCAAAGGCATTCACCATATCTTATTCATTGTCTGCCATACAGAGCTAGGACCAGAGTCACAGAAACTCAATAAAAGTTATTTAATCTGAACTAAATCATTTTAAAAACAACATCTGAAAGTCAGTCAACTGATATAAAACTAAACATCTCTCTGGTTTTCCACACCCCAAACAACCTCAGTTAGCTTCAACCACTTCACACATGCTTTATTTTAATAATTTCTCAAATCAGTTTCTTCCTTCCTTCTTTTCTTTCTTTCTTTCTTTCTTTCTTTCTTTCTTTCTTTCTTTCTTTCTCTTTCTCTCTTTCTCTCACTCTTTCTTTCTTTCCTTCTTTCTTTCTTTCTCTCTTTCTCTCTTTCTTTCTTTCGACCGGGTTTCTATGTGTAACTTTCTCTGTGGCCTGGAACTCAGAGATCTGCCTTCTCTGACCTCTGAGTTTTGGGATTAAAGGCATGCACCATCACCACTTAATATACTTAAATTGTTGTACACCTCAAA